TAAATGCTGAAGAGCAAGGGGCCCAGTATTGAGCCCTGGGGGACACCAGACTTGACAAGACCAATTTCAGACCTGTACCCATTGAGAGAGACAAAGTTAATATGTATAATTAACTTAATAAATACATAATTAAATAGGGATTAGCTGGTCTCTCCATCTCTGGAATATATTTTTCCTCTGGCACTACAAGGATACCTGTTTTGACAAGGTTCTGTTTTTTTGGGTTCTTGAAGCAGGAGACAGTATTGTTGCATCTCGCAATCAATGTTGTTAATTTGTTGAAATATTTATACGGGTTTTAAGGAACTTTGGAATCGCTGTTAATTTATGTCTTATGTTAATATGTGTTTACAAACACAAAGCAATACAGAAAAAAGGAAGTATTGTTCAGTTGTATGTGTATGTTTACCATTTTCTAAACAGCGTTTTTGTTTTATAATGTAGTGGTTACTGAAGGCTGAAGCCTGCTTTGTCACAATAAAGTAAAAAGGCTTTACATTTTAACAAGAAAACACATTGGTACTAAAACATTGACATTATTACCCAATATAAAAACCTAAAGCCAGCAACAAATTTAAACTTGTTTCTTGATCAGAGTCAAATCATTCACCTTAAATGTTGTTTACTTTTCCAAATTGCCTGTCTAAAGAAAAACATTACCATAAATAACTCCTCTAGGAAATAATTAACTCAAAGGAATAAAATCTACTCAACGTCCAATGATTACTTTTATATCTTGTTGTTTAAGTTCATTAGAGGAAGACATTTTAGGAAGGGATTGTACTGATACAGATTATCTATTTACAGGCTTAATAATAATGCAGAATTAAGTGTTTCTGAGCTTCCCAAATGAGGCCCCATTTCTCTGTTCATCTCTGTGGTACAGCCACAGAGAAACCATTCATGCAAGATGTTTTCTTTTGATAAGGACAGCTCCCAAAGGGGGATGCACTTAGCTAAGCCTGGCTATCATGATCAATGGTCATCCATTGGCGCCTATCTGTCTAGGGAGTGCGAGTT